GCGTCATGTCCTTGCTAAGCGGTTTGAGATGCTCACGTTGCAAGGTCCGTCAAGGGTAATGACATACACATTACATGACGATTACGAGCTAGCCCTTGGGGTCGAAAACCCATACCCAAATGGAAGCTTGCAACCGGAAGATGACTCTTTGCCACGTAAACACAACGGGACGTGGAATTTCGGGTATGTATAAGAGCGATTTTTCCGAGTCAGGTAGGAGCTCTTCCATGCATCCCAAGTCAGTGACCTGTGCTGGACCGTGTTGCCGTGCCGCCCACCGAGCGGAGGGGCGGGGCAGCGGGCCGTCCCTGCGACCGCGACCGTCTGCAGCAGGCTGCACGGTATACTCGGGCCGATGTCAACAGGTCACGGCTGGCACGCCACTACTGTAGTAGAGCGGTGGCCGGAGCGACACCGCCGCACGCCCGCCCACTCGGCCGGTCCACAGAGCTGCTTTGATTTAAACAGGTTCCAGTTGTCTGGATGGCTTGGAACGGTGGTAGCTTGACTCTACATACATTCTACAAGGGCGGTGGCTCTGCACTTTACCGAGTAATGAGCTCAGCTGTCTGCATCACGCTGGGTGTTCAACTGTTGCTTCCACGTGTTACACATGGGTGAAACGGACTGGTCACTGGCGAAGCCAAGCCACTGGGGACTCGGCAGGACGCACTAGCTAAGCACTATGTATCGTAAAGCACTAAGCACTATGCAGCCAAAGCTCAGAACGCGGTAGGCATCGTAGTATCTGGGAGCATCGTAGCAGCTGGGGGCGTTTTCAGCAGCAGAGAGTGCCAAAATCAGCTGAAGACATCGTAATCCGTAAGTAGCAATGGAGAGTATCATAAGCAGTTGAAGGCGTCGTAAGCAGCTCGTAGTATCTTTGGCACTAAAGACATCGTAAGCAGCTGGGTGTCAATAGCAGCTAGGGGCATCGTAAGCAGCTGGGACTTAGGAGTATCATTGGCATTGAAGACATCGTAAGCGACTGAAGATGTTACTTTGTCCGAGCACATTACGGGTTCGCTCGCGTAAAGACAGAGAAAGCTCCTTCGAGCTAGGTGGTAAAGAGGATCGATATGGGAGTGGGATATGGAAATGGGAGTGTGAGAGCGCGGAGAGAGACCGGGGTGGGTTGCAGGAGGCGCGCAAAGGAAAAGATAAACGACACCCAGGCGTATCGTCAAGGCAACTTGATTATGCATTCAAAGTGGAACAAAAGGAACGAGAAATGGCTGATTCAAAGGGCGAGGCGTGTGAAGGATCAGACAGTCTCGTCCACTGATTTTCATCATCGTTAAGCATGACACTTTGTTCTCGCATCATAAATGAATGTGAATGAGTTGGTGCATTCCATTGCCTTGTTCCATGTCAGCTGCGCCGTTTTCTAGGTTTTCCATCGCATTACGTGTCAATGCTTTAAGCGCTAACTGGTCCTTTGTTACTGAAGTTCACTTCTCCAAAGCCAGGGATTGGCTGAATGGCTTTATAGTGTCATTTTATCACCATCAGTATCGTGCATATGGCTAGGATAATGGAACCATTCCCCGGAGCCCAGAGTAACAACTACACCAATGCAGTAGAAGAGCAGGCAGTCTGAAACTAAAGAGAAGGGTTCGAAAGGGTTCGAAAGTAAAACAGAGCAGAGTGGGAGTTAGGCGGTAATGAGTTTGGTTAGAATCCCGCTGTCAGTTTCTGTGAAAGCGGTCTCGAGTGCTGCAGAGAAGATGCCGCCACAGGCGCTGTTACCACTCTGTTCGGAGTAGTGGCAGATGATAGCGTTTTTGTTTCAAACGCATGCCTGATAAAGAGGGCAGGCTATCATATTCTCGCTTTGGACAATCGGCCAGAGCTCTTTGGTACTCGTTTACTTTTTTTTGTGAAATGGCTATGAGAAGACATGAGAAAGAGCGCCATACGTCATTCACACAGCGTTCTGGGGCATTCATTTCCATTTTTATTCGATCAATCTGGGACAGTTTGTTATAACTGATGTGTTTATAGCGCTGACCTCTGCTCTGGAAGTCTTCCAAAGACAATAGTCGGCCCAGATATCACGGCGGTGACAAGCCTCATCAAAGATACGGCCTCGACAATGCAAAGTCTCAAAACCCTGTCTGCTTCCTGAAATTCGCATCGAATTCCACGTTGTTGTTTTAACTCTTGCCTGGCCATTGGCAACTAAAGGCGATCCTGTTGGGTTTGCTACGCCAATCCCTCAAATACGTGCGACTGCTGTCGAGATGCCCGACCCCTAATCAGGTATCGCCTCCTCCCGTGCGCCGGGGACCTTCGCCGCCGGTGAGCCGTTGATCGGACCCACTCGGCCCGCCAAGGTCCACGCTCGGGGATTATCCTGGCCCGAGTTCTCTGCCGCCGCCGCGCCGCCAACTCGGCTATCTGATCAGCGTCGGGGAAGCGGCCGAGGGCCTTTTCTCTCTGCCTGCACTCAGCGCCGTCTGCCTGTGGCCAAGGTCGGGCCAGAATGGGGTCATGCGGCGGCCGCTGGCAGCGCGCCGCATGCCGGGCCACGCACAGCCGCCGCTGCTGATTCCCATGCAGCGCGGCGCGCCTGCAGCCGCTCATGGCGGCGGGAAAACGGCGGCTCGGCCCGCCCGGCGGCGGCGGCCCACATTCGGAGCAGCTCGGCCCGGTCCGCCCTCAGCTCCGCCCGCCGCTCGGCAGCAGCGGCTGCCGGCCGAGCAGGACGGCGTGAAATCGCCACCTGCTCCTCACAGGACTGCAGACGGTGGCCTTCGGCAGCGGGCGGCCGTGTGCGCGCGGCCCACCTCAGCCGACCGGTTTTCGAGACGGGTCCGTCTGCCAGCGCATGATAACGGCCCAGCGCGCAGCTCTCTGTGCACGCTGCCAGCCGCTCATCTCTGCGAGACTAGCACACGGGGCGGGCGCAATGGCCGTCCAAAAACAGCAGCCGCAGGCCGGGTTTCAGTAGAGTTTGTGCAGCGCCCGCGGTGCCGCTGATCTGATACCGAGGCGCTCTTGTTGCGCCGCGTCATGCGAGCGGCGCCGTCCGACCCTTGTCCCCACAGTGCCACGTGTCGCCTTCAACACAGCGGCAACCGAGACGGTAACACCACCCGGCGGGCGCCGTGCCGGGGCACCCAGGGCACCGCCGGACACAATGGAAAGACGAATTCGGCACAGCTCCTGCCCCCGACCGCCCCACCTCCGTCTGCAGCGGAGGCGACGAATTCGTGCCCACAAAAGTTTTGTCATGGCCGGGAAGATGGACCATATTTCGGTGCAGAGTTTCTGCAAGTTCCCAGTGACAGTTTGCAGCCGACTTCGCTCAGTGAACGTTTCTGCACGCCCTAGATATAGTTGTGGGAAGTTCACATAGCCCGCAGAATACCATCTTAGAGATAGACGCAACCAAGAACTGAAATAAACACCTCAGCGACTGGAGAAAAAAGAACCTTTGTGGAAAAATAATTGGGGTATGAATTAAAACGCTGGATAAAGTGACAACAAAAGCGAATATGTAGCAAAACATAAACATGCTCGATCCGCACGGCTCAGAGAGCGGCTCGACAGCGCCACTGCACAATCAGACAGAGGCCGGCCGCCGGGAGAAGTGTTTCACGCTGTTCATGGCCCGGCCGGAGCGGTGCGGCGCTCCGGTCGACCTACTTTCCCTGCCGTCTCAGTCCCGGCGCAATGGAAACAACGAAAAGGGCCGGCAGAGAGCGGACGAGCTAAAAAGAGCAGGCATGCACCATATGGATATTCAGAGAGGCAGAGAATATGCCAGCATGAGCAATACAGGTAATTGATGAACCGACCAAGAATAGCCTATTCGAAGCCAAAATAATTGTGCGACGTAAATGTACTGAACGATAATTATTGTTAAGATAAAAATATGAAATGAACGTTCAATACAAATGCGACAACCGGGATGACATCGAATGCATTTCGCCAGTCCTTTAGGATAATCCGTTTATAATAAAAAAAGGTTAATGCTCCACATACATAATCCCTAAATTCTGACAGGGAAGGGTCTAGTAATATCGGTGGGGTGGGAGGGTTAGGACCCCCTACCTATCGCTCATGAGACAAACTAATGGGCACATTCCAGTGAGCAAATCGAACATTTGCAGACATGCCGCATTGACGACGACATATTAAATTGGCGCTGTAAGGAGGGACGAACCCTGGAACTCTGATTACATGTAAACTGACCGCGCTTACATCAAATCAACCGATCGATTTCATATTGCAAATAATATATCAAGAAAAAATAGAACGCAATGCGCCGGAGTTGTGCTGACACCGTTCCCTTTTTGAGTGACACTGAAAACCAAGGCCGTATCAAAACCAAGAACGATATCGAATCAATACTTCAGTGCATAGTTCAGCGCCATATCGCGAGCACGAACGCTTCTCGTCCAATCCTGGAGCATCCATATTCATCGAAAACTGTTGGAAAACATGAGAGTATGGTCGACAATCAACCGAATCATTATCAATGCATTGCGTTGTACCGCACCTGCGAATAATCAGATACTGACGAAGAGCCATCAATAGCCTCCTGCTCAGGGTGAACGGCAGTCGACACTGGAACGACTTCCTTATTCCTAGGACCGTCTACTGTTCGGGATACAGCAACTACTCCGCATTTACGTCAAATAAATATCAACCAATGTTGAACAGCAATATAATCGTATGCCCTATGACGAATCCCTCGCAGGCTTCGATATAAGGGATGTCGCTTATCCATATACTCCACTCAAAACATATGTCCTGACCAAAGCTACAAAAGCTAGCTCCTTTCCATCGCTGAAGGCAGATCCCGTCAAATCCCGGCAGGTCCCATCATCCCGGACCAGAGAAGAAAATAAATGTGAACGTCCTTTTATCGGCAAACTGTTCATACCACTCGGTGAGGGGTCACATCGCTCTGCATCTATGACGAGTTTTCCCCGCCCAGACATACCGAGGACTGTCGGGTGCACCGCCGGACAGGCAGCCACGTTCCTCACCTTGTGGGCTTTCAGCTGGGAGCCCTCGCAGGCCAGTGTCACGTCCACAAACGCCTCATTCTCTCGTAGCTGGTCGAACACAGCAGTCATGTTCGACTGGTAGTTATTCCACTTCAAACAGAAATGCTGGTCCTCCTCCATTCTGAAATAGGGACAGAAGGGTGTAAGCACTCATGATACAAAACAAGGGCCTTATGGAGAAAAGCAAGTCGAGTCCCTATGCGATCAGCATGGAATAATGGCTTAAGCTTGTAATAAAATTGGAGTTAGGTCAGTGATATGGGGAACAGCCTTGGACACAACCTGACTGTAGTCTTGGACAAAGTCACAGCCAGACACCATATCCAATAATTGTAAAAATCAAATAGGTAGATCCATGGGTAGTGATAAAAGATCCCATGTAGGTAGGCTTGAGTTGGACTTGGGAGTAGCAAACATGAGTTCACAAATGGTATCTTTATGGGCACAAATGAAATAGTGGTATCCTTCACATCACTCTTTTCACTTTAAGTAGGTATGCTTGAAAACAAGTTATATTTAGGTGGGAAATGGAGACCATTCAATGTTCTAGTATGCCACTTGAGCCTTAGTGAAGGAACATATGCTGGCAAGTCCCAGAATACATGAATATGCTCAAAAAAAAAAAATGCCCAGGGTACATTAAATTATGCAATCACTTAATCATTTTTAGAGTTGACCATCCCTTGGTGTAGATCTTTATAGGATAAGAGTAGAGTCAAGCACAATTCAGGATCATTAATACCTAGCATACAATACTTCAGCCAATTTCCGAGCACTTCCAAACAACCTATACCTATAGCCAAAACCATTTACAATCCATAATAATTTATATGATCATTGCATGCATCGCACCAGAACTAAATAGCATTGGCATCTAAGAGATGAGCAATTTAATCTTATGCATAACTGTAATTTAATTCAGGACCAATATATTCCAACAGCAGATAATTACAAAATTGCACAAAAATAAACAGCATGTGAAATGCTAAAAAGGTAGTCATAAAGCAAGCTAGAAACTGATATTCCGCAGTCAATGATCATGATCAAAAGTCAAAACAAAACCTCTAGACACTGACACCCCCGAATAACAGGAAGCATGCAACAGGAAACATGCAACACATGTATGTGGCATGCAACAGGCAACATCTAAGAATTCAACAGATTATAATGCAACAATGCAATATTGAAATTTGCAAAAGACGAACAATCCAGCCTATTCATACAAGCTTGAGCTCTAACCAACACATGTGCCATGAAACCAAAATGAAACGGCTTTGCAACGGTATTGCAAGGTCGTTGCAACAATCAGACATAACACTTACTTGATAAGTATTTGTTGCACTTCCTCTTCAATCACTTAAGCCTTGGTTTGATTCTCATTCAATGTTTTTGATTGTCATTTTCCGTCAGCTGCGGCCCACCCGCAGCCGCTCCCTTCCCGCTCCTCCTCCCGCGACGGTCGTCCGCTGTCTTCTCTCTTCACAGCTTTTGAGCAATTCCCACATTGCATGGACACCTTTTTATTTTTAACTCACTCCTTGGATTCGTCTTCCGCGCATGCCATGTGTGCAACAATCAAAGAAAGATGCCATTCAAAAGGCAGATAAGGTAGGTTGGCTCTTTTTGCAGCGAAATAACAAAAATTTGCAATTTTTGTTGTTATATTGCTTGATTTTGCCCCACCTCCTTCCAAATTTCTTCTGCTTTATTGCAGACAACTGTAAAAAGGCGAAGTCACTACCATACCGAACACGCTACTGGTCCATCCGCTCAGTATAGTGCCTTTGTCCTTGAGATTGGTTCGGTCGTCGGCTTTTCCTCCCTCCTGCAACGACAGCCAATCAGAAACCAGTGGGCGCATTGATGAAAGGTCCATTGCACCGAAGAAATCAACGGGAAGATGCGTTGAATTGCAACTGTATGAAGTCGGCCCATGAGAAGGTAAGGTAACTTTCTAGTTTTATTTCTATGAAAGTATCAATACGACAGTTGTTGATGGTAATAGTTTTGTGCAGTCTTTTTTCTCTGCTTGCCTTTGAGCTGCAAATGCGATTCAAGGGTCGAGTCGTTTTTGTCTACCTACGTTTCAAAATGGCGGAACGGCATGATCGCAAACACTAAATATTTGTGTTGTGCTGCTGTATTGTGTTAGACTTTTGCTGTTTTACACATTTCATGTGGCAACTTGGCATATTTTTGCGAAATTTCTTTTTTACGGCTGCACCAGTTATTTTTTCTAACCCAAACCTGTCGTTGAAGTGTCGGTTCTGCAGGCGCCTAGCTTCTGTGGACATGTTTTGTTAAAAAAGATTGCTCCTGGTGAGTAGACTGTACTTTTTCAGTTTCAAAACTTATTTCCTTTCATCATTGTGTCTGCAATTGGTTTGTTCCGCAGCTAGCATTCTGCACTTGTGTCAGTTCTATCCTGACATCAAGTTGATAAATTACGAGAGTGTTGTGCTAAGATACTTGCTATAACTGGTTATTGAAATGCTTTTTGTTTGTCACATTTGTCTTCTTAAATCCATGTCAAGCTTAAAAGAAGTTAACATTTTTAGAATGATGATTATTAAACTACGCTCATCTGCAAATGACTGGTTTTTTGTCTGTGACGTTGAACTCACCACGACGTTGGATTGGAGGTGGTCAAATCACACAGTGCAGTGTATTGTTACAAGGGACATTTAGTGTGGTGAGTGCTTTTGTTTCATTGTTCATTATATCAGTTTGCTTTGATCTGTTAGATAAGCGATCATCACTAAGCGTGCCAATGACCACAGCCCACAGGCTTTGATACAAAACCACTGTATCCCCAAAGCTGTCATGTTGCTCTGTTTCACCCTCAGATCCAGCATGGCTGACCAGCAGTTCTGCCTGCGGTGGAACCACCACCACACCACTCTGATCAACGTGTTTGAGTCGCTGCTGAAGGATGAGAGCCTGGTTGATGTCACCCTTTACGCAGAGGAGCGACCAGTGCGTGCCCACAAAGTGGTTCTCTCGGCATGCAGCCCCTACTTCAAGGTGAGATAAAGTCTTTGGTTTCATCTATCATGTGTTACCTATTTATATTTATTGGTAGATGTCCCTCCTTCAATATCTGATGTATTATTGCCATTTAGCCTCAAGGTTGAAGGTGCACAGTTGCACCCAACATTGATGAATGTGGGCACAGGTAGTTGTGATCTGTGGATGACACTTATCTTGGAACTCAGTGCAGTTGAATAATAGAGCAGAACTTAACATTCATGTTCACCGAAATGAAAAATTGGGATATGCTGAGCCCATAACTGGTCATTTACATTTTTTGTGACTGGGAATAATGTGATTTCTACATTTGAACTTCAGTTGTGGTGCTTCTAGACAAAATGATCTGGGCTGGGTTATTCTTGTTGGTGAACTCAACTGCATAATATTTAATGGCATTTATCTGTGTTCTTTTCCAGGCCATCTTTTCTGCACACACTGAAAACCACCCAGTCATCATCCTGAAGGATGTGCTGTACAGCGAGCTGCGCGCGTTGGTCGACTACATGTACATCGGCGAGGTGAACGTCAGCCAGGACCAGCTGGCCTCGCTCATCAAGTCGGCCGAGTCGCTCAAGATCAAGGGCCTGGCCGACGGTGTCAGCCGCAAACCGCCGCCGCCGCCGCCGGCCTCCCCACCGGCATCGCTGCCGAGTCTGCCGCTGCCCAACCTGCCGACAACGAGACTGCCGCCGACGGCGCCCCCGATCCCTGCGCTGGCCTCTCTGCCGCCGCTGGCCGCCCTGCCGCCGCTGCCGGGCCTGGCGCTGCCGCCTCCGCCGCCTCCGTTCCAGCACGGCCGCCGCTCGGCCAGCCCGCACGCGGTGCCGCCGCGCGGCTCGCCGCTGGGCCGGCCGGTCGCCGACCAGCTCAACGGGCGCGTCTCGCCACCGCCCACCAAGCGCGCGCGCCGTCCTTCGCGCGAGACGAGCCCGGCCAGCGGCGGCAGCCCGCCGCCGGCTGGTGATCAGCCGGAGCGACCCCCATCAGCACACTCGTCACCGAGCCTGCCGCGCATCCCGGCCACCATCACCCCGCTGGCGACGTCGCGGGCCGACTCTCCGGCCGAGCTGGACCTCAGCTGCCGACCCACCATGAAGACAGAGCCGGCCGGCGACGGGCGCGACGGAGACGAGGCCGACCAGAGGCCGCGGCCACGCAGCGACGACGCGGGCGACGGCGGCGACGAGCTGGAGCCGGCGGTGGACGAGGATCGCGCCGGGCCGTCGGCGCCGCTGACCGGCACCCCGGGACCCGATGTCGGCATGCTCAACTCTTCAGGTGAGTCCCGCGGGGCTGTGCTGGTGGTGGGGGTGGGTGGGGATGGGGGCTGTAGGTTTCGAGAGACGGTGGGATGATGTTTGGAGAAGAGTGGGATGGCATCTGCAGCTGGGTGATCGGAACAGGCCATTCTTAATCTGCTTATGGTTGCTGGTAGTGAATAATAGAAAGGCACTCTTTGGCGTTTTGGGTGTTGAGTTTGTCACAAATCTGAGGTCAGATTTTGTAACCAGTAAACCCAGGCCAAATATTTCCCTCTGAATCGGCAGGGTCACATTGCTTGGGTTTTGCGCTGTATCATTTCAGCCGTCGCCTCGTATTTACTACACATCACTCGTAGTCTGGCTGGATCACGATCACGACGGGTGTTTTGTTGAGTCATCGAGCTTGTGCTGGTTGTGGGAGGGAGTGGACGATGATAGGCAACCAGCACAACGCTGAGTATCTTTGTTTTTCTCCACTCTGTTCCACGTGCGTGAACCGCCCGGGCTATTATGGACTTGTTTCCGCCCCTTTCTTGTTTCCTTGGAAAAGGAGTCCTCCTTTACAGAAATTATTGTCCAGTCGCTCTTATGGGCAATAGGTATTATTGATGGTCACTTGAACCTAGCATGATATAGGTGCCTACATTCACATGAGTGTCTTTATTGAAATTTGTCGGACAAGTTTCAAGCTTCTTTGTTGTTTCCCAACAAATCACCACCCAATCTATCTGTCTATCTCGCCTGGGTTTTTCAACCCCTGCTGCGTTTCTCGAGCTCCGTGTGACCGCTACGGTAATCAGCCTAATCCATCAGAGTACCCGCGGGCCTCCATGGGCCCCAACTGGGTGCCCCCGAGGTGACAGACAGACAGACAGACAGACAGACGGACGGGTGTCCTTGACGCCTAGGTGGACGGGCGAGGTGAGCTGGGCCGCGGTGCGGAAAAGTCGCGCACTGAGGACACCTCGCTCGGCGGACGGGTAGGCTAATTAGGCGACTGCAGACGAGGTGACAGCGCGGGACGGATGGAGATGCTGCCGAGATATGGAGGAGATCGGAGGACAGGTCGTGATGAGTGGATTGATGAGGGCCGGGGGGGGGATGATGGGATGGCGCGCTGCTAGAGGTATCGCTCATGGTCCGCTGCAGAAGACCATATTGCGAGGGTCGCTACTGGTTCTGTCAGTACTGCTGCTGCTGCGGCTGGTATTGGTTTTAGCTTTAGCGCATCTGTTGTCCGTCGTTGTTTTTTTTTTTCGCCGATGTGGTCGATTTTTGTTTACTTCATGGTGCTCCTTCAAAAGTTATGCTCGTAGTGGGTTGCTCTGATGACCCCTGAATTGAATCGCAAATGGAAATTTCGTTCACTGTTGTGCGCGCTATTTGTTTGGAAGCCACCCGAGACTCCCGTTAGATACCCTAGTCAAATAACCAGGGCAAAAATGCGACCCTAATGTATCTTGCTGTCTTCTGGTATAATGTTGCTAGCTATTTAGGTCTGCTCGAGCAGGGTCATTGTGAAGGCGGTTTCTGCGGATTTAAAGTCAACTCCAACTTGGCTTGGCTGATGAAACTCAGTGGGCGCCATCTTCCCTAATTATTTGCTCTCTTGTGGCTGTGTGATGCTTCTAATTTTGTATATTGCATAGCTTAGCTGTTTCGAAATTCAGCATGTCGAGCTCGTCGGCCATTTGGCGGCAATGAAGCGAGATATTACATTCTGCCGGAGATTTATCTCCGGAATCGGGGCCCCTCAGTCTCGAGTGTGCTGGCAGCTGCAGTCCCGCCCATATCAGTGCCGTCCAGTCGCCATCCCGCTTTGTTTGCGTGTCCATCGGATGGTCTGCGCTGCACCTGCGCTGAGCACCGTCCAAGGCCGACGGCATTCCTCACGCAGTGCGCAGAAATTGCCACCGTTCCATCCAGCAGAGGACGGGTGGGTTCATGTATAACTCGGGCGTAATCCGCCCGGGCGATGGGGCCATGTGATTACAGAATCAGTTCACAGGAATTTCTGGTAACGTGATCTGGCATGTCGTTAAACCAGAAACTTTGTTCAGACCTCATTATTTTGTTCGGGACCTTGTTAATCTCGTAGCTCATTTTCATCAGCAATCATGATTCAGTGTATTCAAGAATAGAGTTGAAGCGCTGGGTTGATACGAGACCTCCGGTTGATGGGCGCCGTTTTCCGTTTGCCGTTGACACGCCGTTTTGGCTGCGTCCCGACGGTGGCGTGCTGTGTTCCATCAGTCGACCGTGGCCGCCGCTGTCGGCCGCTGCTGCCAGCCTCCTTTTTCACCGCCCCATTCCGGACGCGGTCCTGCCAGCAGCGACGGGCGCCAATACCGCCCTGCAGTGGGCCGGTCGGGACACCGCCCCGCGCCATACGCGGCAGGGCCGCGTCGGCGACTCGGTCATGCAATGTGTGCACTGCAGCCTCAGGACAGTAGACAGACGGGCAGATTCCCGCATACCATGGTGATCGTCGATCGTCTAGGATTGTTAGCGCCACTTTTCTTTCAAATATCCGCTCTCTGTTCCACTCATCTGTTTCTTTAGTGGTTCATTGCCGTTGGCTCGTGGTTCAGTTTCCCTAGTTTTGGGGAGGAGTGAGTGTCGACAGACAGCGGCTCTGGCAAACCTTCAGAGAAGATCGGCGTTAGGCGTCTCTCGCCGCCCTTCTGGCTGTCTTCCCTCCCTCCCCGGGATGCGTGCCGGCCCGGCAGGTGACCTCGGCGTGCGCTGCCGCGCGGCTCGCCCCAGGCAGTGACCTCGGCATGGGTGCCGGCCGGACGGACGGACGGGGAGCGCTGACGCAGCCCGCTCCGTCCGTCAGCGGCGCCGGCACCCGGCCAGCCGGCCTGCCTTGAACCCGGCGCAGAGCGGGATCAGGCGCGCCTCGTCTGCGGTTGATTATCCCCGCCACACGCTGCGCTGATGAGAGCTTTGTCCGTGGTGACGGACGGCGGTGTGGTTTTTGGTTTGACGTGTGGGATGTAGACTGCTAAGTAGACACAGTGCGTGCGGATAAGTTAAGTTGCTTTTTTAATGGCCAGCATCACATGCATGACTTAGGAAGGATAGAACCGTCAAGGGTAGAATGTGTTGCCCAAGCAACAAGGTATTATTGGTGTCTGATGCTGGGAAACAGTGGTCAGCAGCGCTGATCCCATCTCCCTCCATGCATTCAGTCTCTGACAACCTCTCGCTGTCCTCCGGCCCCGTATCTCCCTTGTCCGTGCCGTGATGGGTAGACGGGCCGTGCCGTGCTGGTAGTGCCGGTCAGTGACCCCGTCCACGGGCGGGCTCTGCTACCTGGCTGGCGTGCTGCTCTGTCGGACAGTGGCCTGTTGCTGTTGGCCGGACCGCCACAGACGGCCGGCAGTGACTCAGACTGAGGAGCTGGAGCTGCTGCAGTGGCTAGGTGGCTGTCTGAGGCAGCAAGGGATACTAAGGATACCTGGCAAGGTCTCATTGATGTCCGGCAGAGGCGGTGGACGGGCCGCCGGGCCCATCACCGGCCCTGCCGCTAGTGTCGTCGCACACTTGCCGTATGTGTTTACACGTGTGCGTGTGCCTATCAGCCGGCGCGGCCACACCTGTCGGGACGGCTCGGGACTGTGCAGCAGGCACGCTGTATCTGATAGCGGCGACTTCCATCGGCACTTCTCCGAATGTTGCCGTTCAGTGATATGGGTGGATCAGCAGCATTTGGACAAATATCAAAGCTGACTGATGGTCGATACTGAATGGAAAATCTTTTTTGATTTCTGTGTCGCTTTTTCTTTGGTTCTATGCACGTTAGTCCTGAGCTGCTCATTCAGAACAGTTTGTCGATATCCGTCTTCAGTTGACAAAAGAAAAACGAATTCTGACTTATTAGAAATTTAGGGATCTTTTCCTCCTAGCCACTCATGACCTCGGCTTTCTTTGGAGCTTTCCAAATGCTAATACTCGGTCGTCTCTTCTGCCACATCGTTCCGCGTCGCCCTTCTCTGTTCTCTGCGCGTTGCTCGCTGCTAGCTGAGCGGAGCGAGCCAGGGACGAGAGGAGAGGCGGCGGCTCGTCATGTGCGCCGCTCGTGCCGGCTGGCCTTGAGCGGTGCGCGGCGCGCCGTCGATTGTTTTCCATCAGCTCGCCGTGTGTGTGTGTCTGTGTGTTTCGGAGCCGGGCGTATCGCTGCCGTGCCGGCTGCCGTCCGTCACACGACCAACCGTTGCCATGGTGACGGGCGTGACGCCGGCAGTGGCGGGCGGGCGAAGTGCATCGCGCAGCGCCCGGCGGCTGGCGAACGGCGATCACCGTCTAATGGCAGGAAACGGACGGTTTATGGCGCGGCGGCGCTCTTCAGTTCACCGGTAATTGGTTCGGTGGTACACGCCGGCAGACAGACTCCGAGTCGGACTCGGAGTCGGACTGAGTCTGACCCAAACAGACCGAGCATGACTCCCGCGGCGCAGGGTCAGATGTCAGTGTCTGTGAAGATGACGAGCAGCTCAGACATTTGCATGACGTGCAAGTCATTCCAGTGACTAGCGGTTTCGCTCGGAGCCTGCGATGCGACCCGGCTCCCTTTCTCCGTCCCGTCTCCTCATAGCGCTCTCCTCCACGCGGTAATTATTTGAGTCAGGTAGTCTGTAGCCGGGTGATTTAGGTATGTAAAGCCTGCCCGCCACCGACAAGCCCTGTGAAGGGTGGGCTCGTCGGATGGGACGGCGTTGTGGCAGAGCTGCCCTTCCGTGGTTCGGCGACTCGTCTTTGAAGAGGACGGCTCACGCCCACTTGGACCGTGGCAAGGGACGATGACTGCTCGCTGTGGGGACGAAAGACGCCACAAAAAAAGACTGTCGCGCACGGCGGAACGTGGCATTGGCGCACAAAAGGCGTAACGAAGGAATGACGCGCATTTAGTGCGGGCCTTGGACTCCTCGTAGTAGATCTGAACAGTGTCGAAGCCTAGAGATGCGATAGTAAGATGCATCATAGACCTCGGGGTATATAAATCCATCTATG